TCAGCTGGATGTACCTGCATCTCAGAATTGATGTTCACTCTGAGACTCGAACCCACTACTAGCCACTATCCATCTTTGCTTAAAAATACTTGTGACTTATGGCTATATCAAGGCAATCCTCAAAGAATGCACATATACCAACATGAGACTGATCAATTCAGTCCTGAATAACAATGAGAAGATATAAGTAAAACAACACCAAATGAAACACTTTGTTGTTTGTTTTTTTAGTGAGTAGTATTCTTCCTGTTTCGGATTACTACTGGTTAATGTGAGCAAACTTTTACAATCCTTAACTAGTTTACGTTTTGTGTGATTTAGAAAAGTTTAATTATATGATCACGATTTTCAGCTAAAGATCATAAAATTCATGTGGAAAGTAATGAGAAAGTGTAGTGTTTGTATGAACCAATCATTCATTTGTACTTCTTGAATGCTTGATTTCGAATTCCAGATACATTACATTCGTTCGTGCTTATCTAGTACTTCTTGATCCAATCGCTTTGTTTCTGGGATTCCTAGTTTGTACCTGTTAAAATCGCAGTAGACGCATTCGACTCAGAGATCGGAGAAGTCTTACAACAATGGGTAAACAACACATGACAACCTTCGACATCCTTCTCGAGACGGTTGTAATACACTGAACCGAGCTGTAGCACTTTCAGTAGGGAACTCCCAGACATGTGGTGTACTGTGCAGCACTTTCAACGCTGATGAAGACCGAGAATTCACTCTGTTAAACGACTACAAGTCTCTCACTTCCTCTTTAAGCTCATCTTCAGACAAGTATTCACCTCGAAAGCCTTGACAGCTAGACTACATTTCGCAGTTTACTTCAGATATGCAACACGTTTCTAGGTCAAACAATGCAGTTGCGGACGCTTTCTCTCGTATAACTTGAACAGTTTTCAAGGATTCGACTTTCTCAAACTCGTCCGGCTTCAAAAAGAAGATACTGATCTTCAACGTCGGCAGTCTTCTGCAAACCTGTAAGTGCGTATCAAACAGATGCGAACAGGTAAGGAAACCTTACCATGTGACACATCTACAGATAGGATTGGAAAAACACTATCGACTCAACGTCTTCAATACGTTAAAAACTTTCTCATATAGGTTTTCTTGCAATCAGCAAGCTCGTAGTAAAACGATATTGCTGGGCTGGTATGAACAAAGATATGAGGAAGTGGGTATGCTCATGTATAAACTGTCAGAAATCTAAGGTGATTAGACACAACAAATGTCACTTGGGCTCTATCACAAATCTCGACGCTCGTTTCGACCACGTTCACCTGGATTTGATAGGACTTTTATTAGATTTAAATGAGTAATCTTATCGCTTAACTTGTGTAGACCGTTCCACTCGATGGTCAGAAGCATTATACATCGATGACACGTGTGTGGTGAAGATAAAACGAGTCTGAGAAGTTAATTTATCCAAGTGTAACACAAGATAATTCGTTATTATAGACTTTGGATGTTTAGGAATAAAATATGTTAAGAAGGACAAAAAGAGATGAAAAGAATATGATATAAGTAACAGTAATAATTCTAAATACGAACATAAGCAGACTTCATATATTAAAATGAACAGAAACAAAATAAAGTAAAATAGACGTTGAGAGTTTTGCAGGTTACACTTTGTTTTCCAGTCATTTAGATAGATGACAGACCTTGTTTGTATAAATCATTATTAAATACATTGATATTCGATAGGTGACACAATCCACTTTCGAAAAGAAAATCATCAAGGAGACTTCTGAACCGGGCTGTAGTTTCGATGCAGCGGAGGTTCACAGGCAGTCTGTTCCACGTGCTTGAGTAGCGAATAACGAAAAAATTATGGCGCAAGTTTGTGTTGGTTTCTTGCAATCGCTAGAATATTTTCATTATTATAAGATGATATCGTAGAGTATGAAGGGGTGGATACCGAAGAGTAAGAAATACCGTTAATAAGCCGATGGATCAAGACAAGTTTTAATTTGAATTTTAAATCACGAATGGATTAAACGACCATGCTTCGATAAAAACCAGAGCAAAGTTTTGACTTGACAGACAGAGTTATGCAAAAATTCTTGTGAACAAAGTTTGGTTGTTATGTATGAAGTTCTAGAATTATAGTAGTACTGCGCTAATAATGGACCTAATCCCAAAATTGCAGACTTGTAATGATATAACTGTCTAATCTATAATATCTTACGTAGAAGTCATACCATCGTCTACACCAACTCATCATATCTTAACAATCACCAATACATGATGTAGAACAATCTGAGGCTAGAGATAGAACAATATCAGAATGGGTTTTGTGGAGAGTTTTAGAAATTTCACAGGTTGAAATCATGGGTCAGTTGAAGCTAGACCACCATTGAAAACCTGGAAGCACTGGACGGCCGTTTCGTTCTGGTATGGGACTCCTCAGCAGTGCGCATCCACGACACCCTCACCACGCGAGGCTCGAACACAGGACCTACTGGCTTTGAGCGCGAGCACTTAACCACTAGACCACTGAGCGGCATCCAACGGTGTTAATGTCTAACTTCAACCAATCCACGAAGTTGCTCCACCGTACACCATTGTCTTCGGTGAGTTGTTATCTCACAACAGATTTGTTGAACTCCACTGGTAACGGCTTCTCATTAGAACTCCAGGAGTTTTTCCTGAAGTCAGTCACAAGTGAGCAGTTGATTATTATCAGAATGGGTTTTGTGGAGAGTTTTAGGAATTTCACAGGCCGAAATCATGAGTCAGTTGAAGCTAGACCACCATTGAAAGCCTGGAAGCACTGGGCGGCCGTTTCGTTCTGGTATGGGACTCCTCAGCAGTGTGCATCCAAGATCGCTCACCACGCGGGGCTCGAAATAGTGGAGTTCAACAGGTCTGTTGTGAGATAACAACTTACCGAAGACAGTGGTGTACGGTGGAGCAACTTCGTGGATTGGTTGAAGTTAGACATTAACACCGTTGGATGCCGCTCAGTGGTCTAGTGGTTAAGTGCTCGCGCTCGAAGCCAGTAGGTCCTGTGTTCGAGCCTCGCGTGGTGAGGGTGTCGTGGATGCGCACTGCTGAGGAGTCCCATACCAGAACGAAACGGCCGTCCAGTGCCTCCAGGTTTCCAATGGTGATCTAGCTTCAATTGACTCATGATTTCAACCTGTGAAATTTATAGAACAATATATTTAGTATGAATAAAAGATATAAGGTAACATTCAACATTGACAATGCCTGCAAGTCCGAGCCATGCCATTCGAACAACCCCAACTTATTCAATTCCTTGTTTCCGACTTCCCCATCGTTAGGTATTTCTCCGCGTTAAATATTGAATATCTATTTTCCGAGTAGTCTCGTGTTCAGCCTTGAGGATTGTGTGGCTATGGTCCAATGTCACTACAAAGTGGCACTTCATGGTTAGAGAGCGAGTGTATATGACCCGAACTCCAAGTTACCTTCACTATTCCTTCTATTGATTATTTACGACAACAAGAAAACTCACCGTGATTACATTGTCACCACTAGGTAGGAGTGGCCGCGCGAGACCAGTTATTGACTTTTATATTGTGGTCAGCAACTGTGTAAGCATAAACCGGATCAAACATTTGTAAATCAAATATATAAAAAAATTATCCGTCCAGATTTGTGAGTGGCAAGGACGATAAACAGAATAATCTTTAGGAACAACATGTGAAGATTTTGGAAGTGTACACATAAACGCGCAGCACTACCCGTACCCTCAACTATGCCGAAGAAATCGAGAAATTACGGACCATTTTTCAGTGGAAAATGACTACTATAAAGTTATTTAAGCAATATGTACGAAAGAAATACTTTTCTCGAGTGAAAGATAAATCCTACCATTCATATCCCAGATATTGGAATACAGGAACTAGGAGTACGGCACTTACGTAGATAAACAATTTCCCAGATAGGCAAACCGTGCTTAGTGGAGTGTCTTAAGGTACAGTTTTGTGACCAGAATTATTCTTCTTTGATGCAAATCAACTATTTACCTTTACCAGTGATGAGAATAATGAATGGTAACTATAAGAATATACTTCTGGACTGATACTATACATATGTTTGTATAATTGTTAAGTTGTAACAGCTTAGGTTGATTAATTAAGAGTTGACCCCAAGCAACTAATTATATGTCAAAGCAAACGAGCTCAATTATTCAATCACTTCTTTATTTTGTATAGGCATTATATGTCCTATTATCTTATAGTGAATCTGAGAAAGCTTTGTGTGTTCAAACAGGTAATCCCACGGTCGACTGTGACTACCTATTCACGTAAAGTCTGGTTTCTTCTATCAAAAGAACGAGGGTTACCTACAGCCATGAAAAAGTAACTAAATTATTCATATTCGTGTTCCTCTTATTATATTGACCTACGAAATATTATTTGACGATTTACCATTTTAAAGTTATTCTCAGTCTATCAATTACTATCACCCACATTCACAGCCACTTTTGCCTAATGTAAAAATGTTGTCTTTTATTTTATGGTACGATGTGGTCTGTTTGGTTTGTATACAAACCCAGTATGTTTGAAATAAATGGTTCATATCGTAGGGGCAGATATTTACGTTCTGGACTCAACAGTCAGCGCTAGACAGGAAGCAGGACCGGTAAAAGCTCTAGGCCTCTTGTACGGGGTTTATGCGTCATTCACTAATCTCCGATTGGCGGTTATACATTTAGACAAGGGGATTTATATAGTTATTAAACGATTTGTGTCATAAAACAACGCAATTATAATTACAAGTTAGTTTTAACATGAATATTGAAAGTATACTTGTGAATTATTGGCGTCTTCATCATGAACAAATACCAGCAATGTGTTTGAAAAGTGGATGAACTTGAGACTAGACCTGATTAATTCGTTCGAATACTTCATGTCTAGAGACACTGGTTATGATGAAATGAACATTAACTTGGCATTCTTTATTATGTGTCAATTCATTAGAAACGTTTATTTGCTCTACTGATCAGATAAATGTTTCAAGGTTGTTCGGCGGCTCTTTCAAGTCTCGCCGAATTTTCAAGGTTCTGCACAGGACACTTAATGTTACTTTTAAAATCACTCGCCTAAAGCGTCAAAGTATAGAATAACCGTCTTTGGAAATACGCAAATTTACGAATTTGGAATTTTCCGTCACGTAATAGTCCTAGGAAGCCATGTAGATAACGTTCAACAAGTTCTGTTTTGTTCCAATATTAGCTTCTAATCTACTTTTATGTTGTAAGTTGTACCCTACCATTTATTTGCCTATTTAGACGTGATCCACCACTAATATCTGTGATACCTTCATCTTTTATATACCCCATAAGTGGATAATTGTCTTGAACCGTGCAAGATATGGTGATGGTATTTTACAACAGAGCTAACAGTTTACCCACGAATATGAATCATATATGTTATTAGCTAGTTTTATGATATTAACGTTTTTATTTGCGTAAGCTGTTTATCCAAAAGCAGAAACTTAAACGGGTATGCGGAGATATGATCTCTAAACCTTTCATGGAATGTTTCTATTCACAAAACAAAGAAATAATGTTAGGGGTTAAATTCTTACGGTAGTTGTTTTCTCGTCATCCTGAAGCCTGTATATGCTTTCAGTTGGGAATGGGTTATTCTTTTACCCATCATAAGTTAAAATTTCATCAGGTTCGCTGACCTGTCGAGTGCACTTTATCATTCATAGCTATAAGTATACATCTCAAGTATATGAGTAATAAAGACACTGGAATATGGTAGCACTAGTCACAGCAAGTTGCGTTATTAGTGACACAAAAGTTTATGAGACCAGCTTTATGATAAATGTGCTACTCAGTTCTAAAGAGAAATGAGCTCAACAGGGATTAAACTTTCAATCTTAAAAATGATGTCACGATTTGAAATGCTTTCAACATCATTAGACAACTAGACTAGTCTGTGTATATCAGCCGAGTACTTCTCACTGTTGGCTTCATTTATAATTGTTTTATTTTTCAGCTGTGAAAACTTATCTCTTCATAACAGGAAATCCTATGTAATTGAGTAACCAATTGAAATGCCATTCCACTATTACTCATTTCAAATTCGTTGTGCACACTGGTTATTAGCTCGAATCAGTCTCTTTCAGTCAGTTTGCCTGTTATTATGGTTAGGCGAGCGAGCTTATCATGAAACAGAGCCACCTATACATCCATGGATAGTTTATACGTATGTGAGTTAACTAAATGTCTTTCTAATGTAGTTTCAATTTGAATCTGAATTAAAATCCAATGTTTAACGGAAATTTTTCACTATTTATTGTAACTGCGGGGCATATTATCACTGCTAGTGTTCTTTTGGTAAGATTGAGAGGGAATAGAATGTCGATTGTGATCGGTGACATTTTCTTTGTATTCGGATTCGATTGATCAAAACTTAAAAATATTGCAGATAAAAACAAGTTGATGATTAAAGTCTCAAAAACGTTATTAAAATAGAAGACAGAATAACACTTAATGATTTGCATTTTTATCTCTTAGGCACCACCAACTGGGCATTGACATAAGTCTTGCCCTTTGAACCGTGATATTACAAAACTTTAACAGATAGGAAGTCCCTGTTGAACGACCTAGGATTATGTTCAAATGAACTCAAAGCTTGATCACACTGCCAACTAGGTTTTTATTGAATGTATGAAACTGCTGATTGGCAAGTTTTCAATGTGAAGAAATGACTTAATAGTTGGAGCAAATTAGCTTTTAATCAGTAAGTCACAGACTCGAACCTCGTCACATCTACTTCAGTTTCCGTACTCAGGTGGTATCATTAATCATCACACGAAATATATAGTTTAGGGCGTAGAAAATAAACGTCCACTTGGTAGATGATTCACATTATAGAGTTACTATATAATAAACAATAATTTCTGTCACCAACGGAAAACTAATCAACATCAGTAATTTTTAGAAGCTGGTTATTATTTATCTAAAATTAATTCACTGAGCAAAACGTCATAATCTTAGATAAGACAATTAGTCCAGTTACGTTGACTAAGAGTATATATCTAATGAGTTGGTAAGGATACTTTTTCTTATGTTTATAACGAGTGACTTGTGGGCTATTTATTAAGTTATCTACTTCAATTTACACGACTGAGCTGTATCAGTAGCCCTCACTGAAAACATCTATCATACCTGATTACACAAAGTTATACTTGATTACAGAATTACATTAACTTCAAATAACATCGCGTAGTCTCAAAAATTAATGGGTTTATTTCGGTTTATAGATTTTAAAGACGATATTTTAATCTATAGATACTTTTAGGAGATATGCCTGATAAGCTTATTTTGTAAATAGTTTTTGATGTTATTTCCATTTTTTGTCAATTTTTCACTGTATGTACATTTATCATTAAATAGTTGTACGTGTTGTTTAAGTGTATGACCTTAAACACACTTTCCTTCCGTTGTGTAATTTCATAGCACGACACACTGTTGACTGCTAACAAATATATTGTTGCGCACATACCTCGTTCTACATTCATTTGTGATTGTATTAACTGAACTCTAAATCAAATACTGTCTAAATTTATAGACTGTAATCAGAATATATCATAATCTATGTTGCATTATACCACTGGGAATTCATCAAACTTACCAGAATTATCAACCATCTATAATTGTGGATATTTGGTACCAGATCAAATCAGAACACGCACCAACCTGGTGAACTAAGTAACGTCCCTCATTTCCATTGTGTTTATAACATTTAATATATATATATATTAACATTACTATTTGTCCTTAATAACTCTGTTATTAATTTTTGAGTTCGTATATTGTCTGGTCCACCACAATTATCTGGTGAACCTCGAATCTATTATAGACGTTATATTGTTTACAGTTTTTACTTGATACACTAGTTTATTTTGTTTTTCACATCATGTACTCTCCAAATAAACTTATCGACATGGATTGTCCCCCAGTAAGTCCCCTCAACATCCAACAGCAATTAATGCAGTTAACAACTCAGCATCATTACAAGCTATCATCGCGAGCATCCATTCTCGACCGCATAGATCCGTTTTCAGAAGAAGATCAGTGTCTAGACATCGTCCAAGCAGGCAAATAACATGACGTTTGTGTGTCCTTTGAAAAATCGGATATCTGTCGTAAATTGGGAGATGTAATCCAATTGTCGTGCTTCGCGAGGTGAATGCTCGTCGCACGAAGTGTTAAATGAGTAATACAAAGGTTTGTGATCGGTCATGATGATGAAAGTTCGCCCTTGTAGTAAGAAGTTAAAGTGTTTAACTCCCGTCCGAAAGTACTATAGCGTTCCTGAGCTGGTGACAGTCTCTTGGAGGAAAACGTTACGGGAGTAGTCATGTTGTTTACCTGTTGTTGCAATACTGCCCCGACGGTTTTTTGTGAGGCATCTGTATATAGAATCAGATGGGTTGTGCGGTCAGTATTGAGGTGTTTTAGCATGGTGGCGTTGGCTATCAAGGACTTTACTTTTTCAAATGCCATTTTGGCGTCAGGAGGTAGCTTGAATGTTTGATTCTTTTCCATCCTCGTACCTTTTTGTCACTTTTCAGCAAATCAGTTAACGGCTGTAACACATCTGCACAACGTGGTAGGAATCGGCGGTAGAAATTGCACGTCCTGAGAAAACGGCGTAATGACTTTACGGAAGTTGGTTCAGGGTAATTGGTAATAGCTTCAACTTGTTTTGGGAGTGGTTTGATGCCTTGAGAGTCAATATAATGTCCTAAAAACTCTAAGGCTGAAACGGTGAATATACATTTAGAAGGATTGACAACAACGCCATGTTTCGTTAAACGTTCAAAGAGGATCTGAACATGCTGGACGTGCTCTTCTATTGATGAGTTTGCGATCAAAACGCCATCTATGTAGGGGAATACAAAGTCTAAGCCTCTTGTAACATCATCCATGAATCGTTGGAATGTCTGGGCGGCATTTCTCAGTTCGAATGGCATTCTTAGAAACTTAAACAGACCAAAGGGTGTGATGATGGCTGTTTTTTTCGATGTCTTCTGGTGCCATCGGAATTTGGTGGTATGCGCGCACAAGGTCGAGTTTCAAGAAAATGCATTTACCATGTAAGTTTAACGACCTTTGATGTGAAAGAGGCGGCTAGCGTGTTGGCCAGTAGCAGACGCCGCCATTACTGTCTGGCCAGCTCGTTTCCCTGGTGTTCGTGCTTGCTTGTTGTAAAGTCGCACGGTTGTGTGCAACGACGTGCTTTATTACCATACTTCAAATGATACCAACAGATACCAGCTGCCTACTTGGACGATGTCTAGACACTGATCTTCTTCTGAAAACGGATCTATGCGGTCGAGAATGGATGCTCGCGATGGTAGCTTGTAATGATGCTGAGTTGTTAACTGCATTAATTGCTGTTGGATGTTGAGGGGACTTACTGGGGGACAATCCATGTCGATAAGTTTATTTGGAGAGTACATGATGTGAAAAACAAAATAAACTAGTGTATCAAGTAAAAACTGTAAACAATATAACGTCTATAATAGATTCGAGGTTCACCAGATAATTGTGGTGGACCAGACAATATACGAACTCAAAAATTAATAACAGAGTTATTAAGGACAAATAGTAATGTTAATATATATATATATTAAATGTTATAAACACAATGGAAATGAGGGACGTTACTTAGTTCACCAGGTTGGTGCGTGTTCTGATTTGATCTGGTACCAAATATCCACAATTATAGATGGTTGATAATTCTGGTAAGTTTGATGAATTCCCAGTGGTATAATGCAACATAGATTATGATATATTCTGATTACAGTCTATAAATTTAGACAGTATTTGATTTAGAGTTCAGTTAATACAATCACAAATGAATGTAGAACGAGGTATGTGCGCAACAATATATTTGTTAGCAGTCAACAGTGTGTCGTGCTATGAAATTACACAACGGAAGGAAAGTGTGTTTAAGGTCATACACTTAAACAACACGTACAACCATTTAATGATAAATGTACATGCAGTGAAAAATTGACAAAAATGGAAATAACATCAAAAACTATTTACAAAATAAGCTTATCAGGCATATCTCCACAAGTCTCCTGCATGAAACGACATCACTTCGGGTATCATATTCCGACATGGTTCGAATATATACAGTCATGAGTTCCCATTGCTGAAGAGTCCCACGCTAAGATGAAACAGCTGTTCAGTACACCATAATCTTCATGGCTACGCTAACTGATGCCAATCCTATACAAAACCCACTGAGGAATAGGTTTGTCACCGATTTTGACAGTAATGATTTTATACTCCTGAAAACTTCGTAATCTGTGGCTTTCATTGATTACTCAACTGTTACAGGATTTGTAATATGAATCCTCTTCATTACAATACAAATGGCTTTAAAGTGGCAACCAGTAATTATATGATTTAGTTTCATCTCATACCATTTAAGATAATTACCAAATATCTCATTAATTAAAGTGATACCTCTCCATTTATCTTTCTCCTTGTATTTCATAGATTGGCTGTGGTTTGATCGCATCAACTGGAATAACAAGTCGTTTTTTAACACGTTTATCATTAACCATAGTCCTCTTAAGTCAGTTGTACATAACATATGTGTTTTGTTTAGAAAAACGTTTAGGGTATTCAAAATGTATCCGTGCACGTATTAGTTTAAGGTGTTTGACTACTATTGGTGTATATTTTCGACTGCTTGGAGTGAATGACTATAATGATAAACGAAAACAGTCAGATTCACACAATAGCAATAATCAAGTTGATCAATTACACAAAATCAAGCCAACTACAAGTGTTTATGCTTTCGGCTTAACTATAATGTCTGTATCATTATGTTTATTAAGTATATTCTGTATACCTGTAGAAATATTCCAACTGGATAGAGATATTCAACTGACAGAAATTAATTCAACATTAATTTTATCAATGAACAGTTATATATCTAAATTATTAAGTCTAATTTTAGGTATATGTTTGTTAACGGCTGGTATCATCTACTCAATTCCTGTAATTATACATGATCGATTTCTATTAAACAATACATTTTCTTATAAAAATTATTTATTCCAATTTGCTGATTATCTTACCGGATTTTCATTTTTAATGTTTTCTTTAATTCGTGATTGTAATTTTAATTATTGGCATATTAAAGGATGTGAATTTTGGTTAGAAATACGTGTACTTCTAGAGAATATTACTATTCTCTTAGGTATTTTTGTGATAAATGATTTGCTTATTAACAATAGTGTAAGTAGCCTAAATGAGAAATATTTAAAAACATTGAAAGTGAATAGTAAATCATTAAAAAGTCAATAGATTTATGTAAATAAAAGGATTTTCCACTTTGTTACTTTAATTTCTACTTCATTTTTTGTTTTATTAAAAGATGTTTGTTTGTTTGTTTGTATTTAACTGGTGAATGCTATGTATATTGTTTATTGAAATAGAAAATGCGAACAATAATAGTCTTTTGTAGAGTATCAGTCAGTCACAAACAACGTAGGACTTCGTACGTACGTACATCAGTTCGAGTTGCTACACCACATTAGCGCAGAGATGCAGTTGCCGATTCAAATCCCATAGTGGTAGAGGTACTAAAAGTATAAGCAGTAATCCAAAAGATCAGGGTTTAAATATGTTATTCAAGGAGTATAATCCAGTGAGATAAATTTGGAAAAAGAAAGGGACATGAAGAGTTCAAAAGATTAGAATTTGGGAGAACACAAAGAGTGGGTGCCATTGTGAATGATTTTGAGCCATGTCATTCAACGTCTCTAACCATCGGTTGTTATCATCTCGCGGTCCCCATCCAGGTAGTCTACACCTACCAACATGGCTCAGTCTACTTGTCAGTGACTTCATGGACTTGTGCCATGTTTTGACCTGGCCGCCCCTAGCTTTCTTCCAACCTACACCATAAGAAATCAAACGCCGGGGCAGTCAGTGGGTGGGCATATGTAACACGTGTTTCAACCATCATCTGAATTTCTTTGCTCACATCTGAGCTACAAAAAATGTTATTAAGTGTCGTTAACTTAAAGTCTTAATAAATCTCAATTCAATATAGTGAATTATCCATCAGAGAAGAGTGAATCCATTTGAACAGGGAAATTACAACATAGTTTGAAGAGAATGGTTTTGGTATATAATTGGTACGACAATAATAGAATATTGCAGTTCATTGTATTACTCAATAAGTAAAAATGTTTTATTGGGTCAAAGCTTAGCTTCAACAATCAAAAATCCTAAACCTATAACCGTCTTATCAATAGAAATGAAGCATGTGAACAACATTCCCGCTATTACGAAGTCTTTTACCTCCCCGTATTTCTACAAATTCCTTGTCATACTGAGTGAAAATAAAGTAACATCCAATGCTCTAGTCATCGCATAAATTATTTGAACTGAATTGCATTTTTGCTTTCTAAATAAACAATGAATTATCATTACGACTACATCTGTTTATAATGAGTCGCATGAACAATGAAACGTCAAATATATTGTTCAAGAACTTATTTTCAATGTGTATTGTAAATTGAATCAACAAAGATGGAAATATGATTAAAAATGCATGTATGAGGTCAAAGGCTATTAGGAGACACTTGTTGTTACCCCTAACTTGTCTCTTTAAAAAAATGAATAGAGTTGAATTATCGCAAAACAACGTATAAGAAATACGTCGTTTTCTTTTCAGTTTGAGAAATATACTAGTCATAAGGTTCAGTTAGATTTGGGGTCTTGTGGGAGTGCTACGATTAGACAGTTGCCTAAATCTAACTGAATTTAGATTATATAACGGTTACATCAGTCTAATTAAAATTTATTTATTGACAAACTAATTTGCTCTGTGTCAAGATCATTTAGTCATCAAATATGTTTATAATCAATTGAAAAGATTTCTGATTCAATGTGGTACCTTTGGGAAAATGCTCGTTTTCCTACATAAACTTAAATTTGTATCACTGTTCTGAAGTGAATTTCGATGAACGATCTTTCGAATGTTTGGTTGAAAGAAAAGAATGTTGCTCAATAAGTGATATGCAATGGCACGATTTTTGTTGCCGAGTAATGGCTATTTGCCAGATTGAATTATCGACTTAAACATCCAATCAAACTACTATTAAAGGACAAAGCAGTTGTCCAATTAAGTAAAATGGAATACTTGTATACAAAATTTCGAACACAAGAATAATTATCATTAGAGGTCATTCATTTAACAATTGAAGAATACAAAAACTAGAGGTTGTTTACTCATATGGAATTAATTTTTAAATATCAGGCTCAGTTGTTGTTCTGTCATATCAAAATTAAATTCGCCATCATAAAGATCTTCACTTTGAGAGAACGCTTTAGATTTAAATATTAATAGTTAAACTTGAAAGTTTAAGAATTATCCGTTAATTCACGTAAAAAATATTAAGGATTATTGAATGTGTTCATTCTTATATATAGGTCAGTAGAATTACCTAGACCTAATTTTTAAACAAGTTGCGTTTAAATACTATATACGATGAACGGTTGAACATATTGATTTTAATTAAGATCAGTGAACTGAAGTGTAACTAAGTATTGGAATATTTTAAAGTTATTTGATAGATAGGTACTAGTCATTCTGAAGCAAACTTTTATGCATTTTGAATGATCAATGAGTAGCAGACAATGTTGTTTGTCCAGTTCTTAGTGCCGAGTGGTAACGTCCGAGACTGCTTAACTAAATGATCCCAGTCCGAAATCACCAGGGTGCAATCGCTCCTTCCTAAGTTATAGGCACTTTTTGCCGACGAGTGTCAACTAACACAACCTTGGTTGAGGGTTTCCTGTCTCATACATCCGACCATCGAACACTACATTCCTATTTATCAAATGACTTCCGCAAATTATTAACTAACAGACCTTTCTAAAGTTTAAACAAGAATTTCAATGGAAGTGTGATTTCATAAATACCAAGAAAGATGTATTTATAAATCAATGTCCTCATTTTTACTTGTCAGTTTTTTTCTTCAAACTGTATATTCACATCATGAAATTTAGAACAATAAAGGGTTACACTTCATCAAGTAGAGTGACTTCAACAAAAATAAACAAAACTAAAATATACGCGGAGACAGTGGCCAGCATTGATGCAAACAGTTCACTGCAAGCACTGATATGTTTACGATTAGAAAGCTTTTAGGATGTTTATATAATTTTTTATCGAACGTTTCGACGGTATACTGGTATGGAAAACTGATTGCGGTAGCCAAACAAAGTCTTTGGATCAAGAAATACAAGTACTTTCAGGCGTCTACTGTTATACATGTATTCTGAAACCTGAAGGGTGGATATTTCATTTATCCATTTTGAAGACCATAAACAATTTGGCTTTATTGGTTTAACTGTCCCAGAGCTCCAGTTTAACATTGGATGGTTGTCAGTCCTTATATCTTAGACAATATTAGTCAGAATGACTCCTTTCCTTTCTGATAAACTGGGACAACTAAGATTTATGTTCAACCCTTAAAGTAGTTAATATCTCAGTAAATAGAACTTTCAAAACTGGACTGTGGTGTGTGCTACTTATATCGACATAAGTAGTATATGTTAGTCAGGAACAGAAGGTCTGGCAGCAGAGAGACAAGAGGATCGAACAATAAAGAATGGGAACAGAATGCAATTTGTATGAAAATGCAAGAACAATGAAGTCTGATTCATTGAGACAATTGATGAACATTTTGCAAATTACGTATTTACTATTTGATTATTAGATTTTATGAACAAGTTCTGTAATTTTGTGTCAAATACATTCGATTGTCCCCACCCGTGTTCTGTTCACTACAGGACCACTGTCCCTGCGGATCTTTGTAAATGACCCATCAAGACTTGCTCCTCGAACTCGTTTAGTTACTTCATAGCTGAAAGTTAGAGGCCTGACCTTAACTAAATTGGCTTCCAAAATCATACTTTAAATGATGTCAGATTGTCTCAGAATCCATGCCTGTACCCAGTTAGTTCATTCTTTTCAATATCTTTACAGTTCATGCTGATCCTTAAGTCTTTTAGTTGAGACTTCTGCATTAACGAAGATACGGATACGTGTTCTAGAAAGGGCGAAAATTCATGTTAAACCAATGTAATTATGATTGATAGCGATGCAGTATATTTGTACCAACGGTTAAGATTATTTCGGAGATTCTGAGGTTAGACACTACCTCTTACGTCCAAGGTTAATAATACTAGAGAAAACAGTCAAGTGAACAAACCTTCAACAAACGGTAACCGTCATATCTTCTAGCTTAAAGTCATAAGTTATCTTTCCACTGACTTTCGATATTGTATGATGTTACTACAGTTTACGAAGATGAAATAGTTATTTCACTTTAAGATTTCGACAACAAAAAACGAATTCGTATTTATAAGTTAAATTAGAAATTGGAGAAAAATTAATAGGGATTCACTATAAATAGTCAGTAAGTTAACCGAATTCGAGAAAATACGTGATTAATGAGATCATATGGTCTAGACAGTTCTCGTCTCCGGTTTCTTGTGTTTATACTGATTGAAATAGATTAGCATTTTCTTAATCTCTCCAATAGCCAAACCAGGATTCAATCCCTAAAAAGGTTCACATGAAATGTATACAAATATAAATTAACATATATTTACAAACTACCTAGCAGCATTAATATCAGAAGAAAGTTATGTGATTAGTCACATTTTTGAGATTAACATTTACTGTAAGATAAGTAATAGTGACTAGGAGGCAAGCTACCACACAACATATATATGTACGTACAAATTGATAATACGTATATATGGATGTCTAAGAAACATATACAACTTATTGGTCACAGCCAGTCATGATCCTTGTTATTTTAAATGTTATAGTTTTCAGAGTACGTATCAAGGATTGATTGACGAAATTTTGTTTTTCAACTCGAATTATGTCTTCACAAGCTAGCTGATCATGTCAAGCATACAGAACTTGTCCTTCATATGCTACTGTCAGTCTTATTACTGTCACACGTTATCGACGTCCACGGGTCAAACTACTGTTCATGACACTGCATCTCCGGCGATCGCTTACCGCTTTAAGTATAGCTAACCTAAAAAATACTTTCTTCAAAATTTTCCGAGTGATATATAAACGAACACCTGCAAGCTAACGATATATCATTGTCTAAGTTAATTTGCTCCAATCGGCGCATATATATCTGGTGCCCCTTTGTATCAATACTTATGTATTCAAATAAAATGATTTGCTCCAAAATGACAATAAAAACTTTAATAAAATGCACCTGAGTAAAAAGACCGAAATACTACAAAGTTATTTCCGAAAGTTTGATCAGTTGTCTAATATTAAGTGAAGGAAAAGTCAGATTTTGCTAATATCACCGTTCTTGGGGAAGGATCCTTTACTATTCATTACAAAAGCCAAATCATCATCATTAGAAAAACCGTAATAGATTATTCACGACTGAATTGATCTGTTGTTGAACATTGGTTCAAGTATTATAAAACATGCACACAATATGAGATTGCAATGTCAACAAGACAAAACTGTGAATACGAGGAATGATGGTATGCTAACAGTTGAAATCAGTTTTCAGAAAAATGTAACCGTTTCAATAAAACGTTCAAATAATTTTTATAGTAGAACTGAATGTAAATGTTTAACACGTTTAAATCAATTCACTTACTTTTGGGCAAGTTTCTGTGCAATTCATAATAGTATGACATCGATAAAGTGACCACTTGTTTTGGAACTCAGCCAAACGTTCATACGTATAATCATCACGTGAATCAACTAACCATCTGCAAGAGATATATCGAAAATGCACTGCAATTTTAAATGGATAATTTTTGGTACATAACTAAGTAATGAGTTTATTTTGCAAAACATTAACAATCTTACCCAGAAGAAACGATAATTCGACAAACTAACCAAAATTATACATATTTAGTCAATGTCGTTAATTGCGATGTGAGGATTACGGATTATGTTACGTAGAATTAATATTTTCAACATCACTTAATTCATATTCTAGTAAGGGCGAGCGAACAGCTTTGCTCGTTAATCTACGAGAATATACACAAAAAGAAACAACAAGCAGTAGCAATATTAAAATAAGTTACTTTTAATTTAACTGTTTTCGCACTGGGAATCTGAAGGACAACTGATGCAAGAATTTACTTCTGTTATTTACATTTCCAGCCAGACAATTTAAGCTGACTTCTCTTAGTAATTCAAACTTATAGGTAGGACATTCAACCAATTTCCATTTAAAAGTTATTTAATAGTAGCCGGAACTCATCACAAACAAGATGTAACATCGACTACACAAAACGAAATAAAATATTCTTTCTTTTAAAGTGAAATCTTATCTATAAATGTATGTAACTCCGTTCATAAAACACCATTTAATGAATAAATTTGTGAAATCTAAGGTATTCGTTTAACACTTGCCTGTAAGCCTGAAGTAGAACAGCGGGACCCAAATACTTATCACCATTCCACCAATAAGATGGACACGAAGTAGAACAACAGGCACACAAAATGCATTCGTAAAGCCCATCTAACTTTGCTCTGTCTTCCACTGACTGATAATAAGTCTTTTTCCCAATATCTTCTTCAGACACATTCTTTTTCTTTAAATAAGGCTCAATAAAACGGTACTGAGCATAAAAATTATTCATATCTGGAATTAGATCCTTAATTACGTACATATGAGGCAATGGATATATTTTAGTTGTCTTGCTAACATCTGGATCTATTTCCCTAAAAAAGCAAAACAAATGCATAAAAAGTACTGGTAATGATACATTAATTACATGGGCTTCAATACTAAAAATATGAACGTAAACAATTCAAAGGAGTAGCATACCATATACAGGCAAGGTGATTACGACCCTCTATATTCATTGCACAAGAACCACATATGCCTTCACGGCAAGAACGTCGAAATGTTAGAGTAGGATCCTGTTCATTCTTTATCTTGATTAAAGCATCCAAGACCATAGGTCCGCAATCATTAAGATCGACTTGATAATTTTGCATAGTGGGTTTTTCGCCACGTTTATCTGGGTTCTGTGTGAAAAAAAGAAATGGTGATAAGTACTTAAGAAAGTATCCATGAAAATTTTGTTGCGAAAAAATCATAAGGTCAAACTCTCAACACAGATTGTGATTCTTCAATTCACAAAGACCAGTTGTGTTAAATACTCGCTCCCACTCAAATAGCTTTCCAAACATTCCACATCGATGCTGACATTGTCAGCTTCACGAAATTTAATAGCCACGGGGACTCAGCTATGAATCACGGCCATATCACGCTACAGATGTGAGACGCTCATCATTCTTTAAACGGCCGATTTAATAGTACAACTTTTCTCCAACTCAGTTTGCTTTCACATACACCTTTCCTCCAACTATTTGCCATTTTGTTTGTTACTATTAGAAGTTTTAAATGCAAGGTATGTGGAGACCAACATTATTCCATTCTGCTGTATCCAGTCGCAGATGACCTGACCCTTCTATCCTATAAACACCAACGAATGCGGGTCAAGACAAACAGTGTAGCAGCAGTCTGCATCAGTAGGCCTCAACATACACAAAGGAAAAAGTCAGATACCCGAATACAACACGGAGAACACCAACCTAATCTCTTTTGATGGAGAAGCTCTGGATGGTGTGAAATCTTCCATGTACCTGGGAAGCATCATCGATAAACAAGGATGACATACGGCACTCAAAACAACTGTTAATCTATATCAAAGTAAGAATCTTCAATGCGAACGTCAAGACAGTCCTACCATACGGAGCTGAAACTTAGAGAACCAATACAAGCATCATCAAGATGGTACAAGTAGTTATAAAAAACTGTCTACGAAAGACACTCAATGTCCATTGACCGGAAACCATCAGCAACAGCCTACTATGGAAGAGAACAAATCAGCTTCCAGCTGGAAAGGGAATTAGGAAAAGATGTTGGAAGTGGATAGAACATACACTGCGGAAATCATCAAGCTGAATAACGAGGCAAGATTTAACTTGGAATCCTGAAGGGAAACGGAAAAGAGGAAGACCGAAGAACACACTACGTCGGGAATTGAAAGTAGGCAAGAAAAGGATGAATAGCAAATGGAAATAATTGTCCAAAACAGAGTTCGATAGAGGATGCTAGTGGGCAGCCTATGCTTCTCCAGATGTGGTAACAGGCGTAAGTAAGGAAGTAGTATCCAGGATACTTTCAGGTAAATGATACAACATAAAAACCCTTGTCAAAGATTAAGTGTTAAATTATGCCATGAACCGAAATAAATATTGGACGGAAACGAAGTTATCAGACCTCGGTTACTAAGTATCTCAATAAAAGCAAGAACAGTTGTAACCGTGGAGTTTCATTTTAACTCCTAATCCAAAACATAAACTAATGAAACAACAAAACTTACCCATCTGTAAATGGAAAAGGTCTTCATAAGTGGAGCTGATTCCGTAGCAGTTGAAGCGCAACGAACCTGCATTACAAAGATGATGAAAAAAACACTACATAGAACCTAGAGTATATGGGACGTCTTTACATGACTATCGAGATCCAAAGCACCACTATTAAACAATTGTAATGCATTGGAATAAAAATTATGCACGTACATGAATTTTTTTCGAAGGTGCGCACACGCATAGTTTTTTTATTTTAACACATAGATATTGGTACAAGGAGGAAGCAAATACATATGCACCACACATATCTCATTTGATATGTGTAAGGGCTGTGATACTGCCCAGGTGCCCAAACCGAAGCAGGTGGTTTTCTTAGGGGTCACACCCCGAAGGCCGTGTTGCAACATAAGGATATGCATTCCCATGGTAGCCGGTGACCAACGATTGGTCCCTACGCCATCTGTTTCCTCAGGATGCTGGAGCCCATGTGCACCATTGATTTGAAATTGTAGTTTTCCAACCCCCCTAGGTAGACCCTCCATGTCTACCAACCCGGTTAAAGCGCCGAACATTCGCTTTTTATCCTCTCAATTTCGTAAACAACACCCCGCCACGAGAAGACAGTGAGTAGGACTTCCCTGGCAGAGGCTATATAAGCGTGGCCATGTGAAGGCATTTCGAGAGGGAGAGCGGACTCTCCCCACCCTCGGCCGTACCAGGGCATTTGGGGGCGCACATGCATAGGGCTTTCTACAAAAATTGAATTTAGATATAGTATGACCACATCACCTTAAAACCCAAAATGTACGAGTACAAAAATCATAGTATCACATTGACGAAATCAATCTTTTAAAATCAGTTCCATGGTTTTCTACTTAAGTAAATACTTACAAAGGGCCAGTCGCGACCCACTGGGTCTGAAAGGATAAAACAGTGCAAGGAACTCATGTAATGTGTTTGGACTAGAGTTGTTGGAAAAGACCTACGGAAGATGTAGGTTAAAAAATGTGACCAGAAGGGCAACGAGACCTTCTAACAGAACTATATTCTATACCAACCACCTTTAGTAGACATTCTGACCAATAAACAGACCAGGTAGATTCGTTTAGCTGGTGCAGACTCATGTACATTCATTCAGTTAACCTTCCTTCATCACTGACAAGCATGGATCTTTTAGCTTGGAGATGTGTGAGAAAATACGCTACAAAAATCAAAAATTATTTTAGGCTATATTTTCGTCTTACTACTAAAAGTTCAAATCAGAGTATGAAGACAGTGGTGCGGAACTTCCGAGAGTTCCACACATAAACCGAAATCGGAATATCAACTAAAATTGCGTCAGCAATTTAAATGCAAATAACTAGTGATAGAGTTCTATTACATATCCAGTGTATTAACATGAATTCTTATCACAGTTAGTATAACTGACTTACGAGACTGAAGGCTGATGATAGCGAAAAAGTCAGAGACTTCCACATAATGAACTTCAATCTGTAATAGTTTCTTCTTTGATTGTTGGAAACACGAGGGCGTCAAGCTGAATATATGGGAAATATGCAGCCTAAAACTCGAAACGCAAGAAACAAAATACAGTAATACGGATATCAAGGTCAATGACTAGTGTATTCCGCGTCATTCAGTTATCAGTATCAAATTGTTCAAATGGTTGTGGACGGAATAGAAGGAACTTTCGCTTAACGGGCTTCCGTGTCTGGTAGCCGTGGATCATCAATATCTCTAGGCAGGAACCCAGGTATATTAACGGTGAAAGAGGAAAAATGAACTGGCAAATCATAGTAAAATATTATCCTTAGTCCTTAACAATAGGTCAAGTTTCCTCTTAAAGGACTCCTGGGAATTAGCTTGGAACAGCTCAGCCGACAGCAAGTTCCACCATTTGACAATTCTTAAGGGGCAGAAACTGTGTTCATAGTCCGTTCTACTGTGTTGTTTCTCCATTTTCTGGGTGTTAACCCTTAGGTTTGTGTTTGAGCTAAGCTTAAGTAGATGTTTAACGGGATGTCCATAAGTGTTAAGGATGCTGGAAGCCATTAGATGGTCACCTCTGAAACGTCTGTACTCTAATAGGCAAAGGTTCAGTGATTGGAGGCGCACTTCATAAGGCTTGAATTTGGGTCCTCGAACTGATTTCGTGGCTCGCCGTTGGATACGTCCCAGAGCGTCTTTATCCTTTTAGAGTGAGGGAGGAAACACCACGTTTCCGTACTGTGAATGTGGACGAATGAAACTGTTGAAGAATATGTGGAAATTTCTTCCGTCAAACTGGCCAAAAATGCGCTTCAATATTACCAGTGCAAGGTTCGCTCAAAAGGAATTTTTGTCACATTTAGCGTACGACTTAAAATCATAGGGTATAAACACTCCTAAATCTTTTTGAACTTGAGATACTTCTGGAGAGGAGTTGTCTAAGTTGTAACTAGCCGTTCGAGCTTATTGATAAGACATATGCAGTTGACCCTATCAAAAGCTTTTAAGAAGTCACGGTAAATGACGTCAACCTTCCCCTTGAGATCAAAGATGGTTTTCTATCTGTCTGCCGCAGTCAGCTGGTTGATTATAAAAGAATTATCCTTCCTGAAACCGTGCTGATGGGGTGGAACGAAGTTTAAGGATAATGAATAGTCGTATATACCGTCGCATATCAAGGACACTATGATTTTTGAAGGTGTAGAGAGAAGGGTCACTGGTCAGTAGCTTGAGTGTTCGCTACGTCCACCCTCTTTGAAAATTGGTGTGACGTGAACCAGCTTCCAAATTTCTGGTAATGTGCCTCGGCTAAGCGAGTGTGAGAACATCGCGCTAAGCGGTGTTGCCAGGATTGAAGCTAGTTCCCTCAGTATGGCAGGATGAACCATATTCAGGACAGAATTGTCTTTTCTTGGGTGCTGTGGTTTCCGGTACACCAAGTCAGAGCTCAGGTTCGTTTTCGAAAGTCCTGTGCAGTTGCAGATGAAGCGTTCATCAATTTAGTTAATGTGGGTCAGTTGAAATGTCCGAGAGTTCAAGTATTCATTCACTTCCTTATTTTGTATAGGCGCTATATTTCCTATTATCTTATATTGAACGTTGAGAGGCTTTGTTTGTCTGAACAAATAATCCCACGCTCCACTGTGACTGAGCGAAAATCTAAATAAAGACCTATTCACCACTAGTCTGGTTTCTTCTATCAATAACACGAGGGTTACATACAGGCACGAAATATCTCCATCAGCCAGGGTCTAGAATCTCTGTCCTTTTTGGAGAGTCTCATCACTTGTTGAGCCAATATGTTTTTGAGCTTCAACGAATGTTCAATGAGTTTCTATTCCACGATATTAGAGTTTGTGTGGTCAGGGTTCGTTTTTTCGGTGCACCATGCAAAATGATATTTCTTCCACGGAAAAACTTCATGCGAGATTCCTTGGGTGTGTTCCTGATGTGATTCCTCTCAGAATACGGTATGTCAGGAAGTATTCTTACATTCCCACCTGAGTTCGGTAAGTAACTAACTAGTGGGATAACCTATAAGTCGGTAGTGTTAGTAAATGTTACACAAAGTAGTCTTGACTGATTTTGATGCCAATATCTTTGTCACGAGCTAGTATAAACCGATTGATTTCTGTTTCGATACAGTTCTGTGTATCTTTTAATATTCAAGTGTCCATTTAACTGAACCAATTATGGTCAGTTTGGTAGATACTCGTAGATTTGTATATCATGTAGTTGGAGTGAGAACTTTCGTCTCAAGGTGGTAGGAATCATGGATACTATAATCTATTACATTACTAGGCACCATTTGGTTGGCTATAAAAAGAAAAATATTGGTAAATTGTGCTAGCATAATGTCCTGAGTTCTTGATAATCTATCACGTTTTCTCTTAAAGGACTCCTAAGATGTCTCTTGGACTACTTTAGCAGGCAGTGAGTCACGGAATCCCACTAAACACAGAGTAAAATGTGTGCCTACAATCCGTCCTGCTATGCTGTGTCTCAAATTTCTGGGTGTTAGCCTTAAAGGTTGTGCTGGAACTGATGTTAAGTAGGTGTATAGGGGGATGGTCAGGAGTGGTAAATAAGTCACTTCGGAGACGCCTATACTCTTTTAGGTAAGGATCCAGTGATTTATGACGTTTTTCATAAGGTTTAAATTTGAGTCCTCGAACGTGGCTCAACTTTGGATACGTTCCACAGTATTTTTGTCCTTTCGGAGTGAAGGTAGAACTACTTTTATTTCATACTGTAAGTGGGGTGGAAAGAAAACTGTCAAGCATTTACTAGAAAGTACTACTGTAAAACTGCTCAAAAGTACGCCTCAAAGTTCCCAGTACACAGTTTGCTCGGAGGGCATTTTTGTAGAAGTTAGCTTAAGACATTTAATCATAGTGCACAAAAACTCCTAGATCTTTGTCAACCTGGTATGCCTCTAGAGGGCAGTTACCAACGTTGTGTATATAGTTTACAACATGGACTACTTTATATTTTGGAGTATCAAAAGTGAGTCCTTAGATTTTCGTACAAATTTGAGGCCGAGACAGATCCTCATGGGTGTCAGTTTATCATTTTGGTAGCAAAAGTCTCACCAAAAGTTTAGATAGTCAATGGAAAGTAATAAATCGGACGATGCTTGTTGATGGAGGTCATTTGTATAAATTAAGAAAAGCGTAGATTTCAATACTGAGACTCGAGGGACTTCACTAAAACACTCTGTAGACTGAGAGAACATGAAGTTCGTCCTTACCCTAAATGCCGATTATTTAGATCTAAAGTAAACTAGTTTGTTAATAATGGCCAGATACCCAGCCGTTTCAACTTATTGACGAGATATATATGAGTGCCTTCATCAAAAGCTTTTGATAAGTCAATGTATATAACACCAACCTTTCTCTTGCGACAAAGACTGTCTGACCATCTGTCCACTGCAGTCATCAGGCTGATTACGCAAGAATGACACTCCTTGAGACCATGCTGATGAGATTAAAAGGGGTTTGCGGATATTAAGTAGTCATTTAGATCATCGCATATTAAGTGCAACGTAAGTTTTAGGGTACTAGGAGAAGTGGTAACGGTCGGTAGCTTGCAGGTTCTCTGCGTGAATCTCATTTGAAAATCGGCGTAGTATGAGTCAGCCTCTAGTTGTCTAGCATCGTGGCGTAATTTGGCGAATGCAACGACATCCCACAAAGCTGTGGTTAAATTGAAGCCCTTCCTCCTAATATAGAAAAAACCCATTCCAGGGCCAGTTGAAATGTCGCTGTTTAGACGTATCAGTATTTGGCACACTAAATCAGAGATCAAGTTCATTCCTGAGGCTCCTGTTGCGTTGGAAGTGACGCTCTCGTCGATGTAGTTTGTAGCGATTGGAATGTTTAAAAATACTGCTTTGTGAGGAGCTCAAACGTATCAACATTTTTGTTGATCAGGCCACTAGGACCTAACGACTGGAATATTTTGGATTCGGCTAATCGAAGAGAGGGTGCACGCCAGAGTAAGCTTTTTGAATCACAGACACATTTAACGTCTAGCTTGATTTGATACTGAGACCTGTCTTTACCTATCGCCTCTAAGCGTCAGTTTCTTGCCTGTTTGAACTGCCTGTACGCGCTGTTGTTATTAGTTCTTTTGTATTTTACCCAGAAGTAGATTTAGGGTCTTAGCATTTGAAGATTGTGATTCTTCATGACTGCACGTTGCTTGTGACTTTAAGAGACTATTAATGAGACAGGCTGGTTCTAGTTTCATAAAACCGTGCTCAGTTAAAATCCCAATGGGCGTTCGCCTTAAGTTGAGGAAGAACTTCTCGATACAACTGCCGTAGATTTTCCTAATACGCTGACACGTCCAAACGCTTGAAATTCAAACGCCTGCCGTTGGTGAGATATTTCAGTACAGTTTTGTTGGCAAGGTTGAAGGCTATGGCAGTGTAATTGCTCTTTCGCATGAGAGCCAGTATTAAGAGGTTGCCAATCAGAGATTTTTCGTTGACGGAGACGCCGTATAGGCATGACGGTATCCGACTGTTTCTCCGCAGAGTAACCAACTCCACTTTTCGAATAATCACAAATCTTCGATGAAGTTGAAAAAATGACCTTCAGTAGAGTTTTCACCGTCAATGAATGTGTGTGCATTGAAAATGGCTTCAGAAAGATTGAAGTTTCCTAAATTCGGTGTGTGAGTGTGTCCATGACGAATAGAGCCGGATAACGCCTGAAGTATACGATTATCGCGCTCATCGCCAGCACTGGCTTTTCTGTAGATGTCCACAGCTAGATATCTCAAGGTGTTGAACTATCTCACTGAGCATCAAAATTTA